CGGGCCCTGGGAGGCGGTACTCGTTCGACACCATTTCGATATTTTCCTGGTGCTCGAAACCATTTCTGGGATGTGGTCCTTAAGTACGATGGGAACAACATAAGCCTCGCCTCCTTCTCAGACCCAGACCCCCTCGAGTGAGAAAGAAATCACTGCGGGAGGTCTTGTTCCATAGTTTCGGCTTCTGGGGGCCGCTGCTGGGCCTCGAGAACGTCAGAGAACGACTCGGGAGGAAAAGCTGGTCCCGGGGAATGGGTCCAGACCTCTGGGGGTCGGCGCCCTGAACAGGTCATGACGTCGGGGGTTTGGGAAAGGTGCCCATACCGCTACCCTTCCCTCGTTCCCCCTTCGGGGATCCTGCGCCGTGGGCGGCGCAAAGAGGATGCTCTGCCCTCGCCTTATGATGTTCCAACCTACTCTAGCCTTGCTCTCCCGAAAGAATTTCGAGCACCAGGACAGTACCGAAGCTGGAGGGTTTTCACGTGTCGGGCCCTAGGAGGCGGTACTCGATCGACACCGTTTCGATATTTTTCTGGGTGCTCGAAATCATTTCTGGGACGTGGTCCTTAAGTACGATGGGAACAACATAAGCCTCGCCTCCTTCTCAGACCGAGGCCCCCTCGAGTGAGAAAGAACTCACGGCGGGAGGTCTTGTTCCATGGTTTCGGCTTCTGGGGGCCCCTACTGGGCCTCGGGACCGTCAGAGAACGACTCGGGAGGAAAAGCTGGTCCCGGGGAATGGGTCCAGACCTTTGGGGGTCGGCGCCATGAACAAATCATGACGTCGGGGGTTTGGGAAAGATACCCATACCGCTACGCTTCCCTCGCTTCCCCTTTCTGGGGTCTCCCTGGAGGCCTTCGTCGCCACCGCTAGATTCACCTCGGAACTCTGCTCAGAGCGCACACCTTAAGAGGTCTGGGGAGTAAAGCGATACTGGTACCGGTGCCTTGTGGTTTCCCCACTTCCGGGGGCTACGAGAGGTAGGGTTACGCCAGGGTGCCGTTTGCGATCTGCGTTCTCCCGGGGCTTGGTGTGGGGCATTGGGGAGCGCGGTGTTGCCCTCGTGGGGCCCCCCGGGGGGCCGCGGCGGAGAACTCTGTTGAGGTCCTCGCCCGCCCCCCCACCCCCACAAGGGTGCGGGTTGCAAACCGCACCCTGTGCAAGGGACAAAAACATTGTCCCGGGGAATGGGTCCAGACCTTTGGGGGTTTACGTCATGAAAAAATCATGACGTCGGGGGTCTGGGAAAGATGCCCATGCCGCTACTCTTCCCTCGTTTCCCCTTTCTGGGGCCTCCCTGGAGGCCTTCGTCGCCACCGCTAGAGTCACCTCGGAACTCTGGTCAGAGCGCACACCATACGAGGTCTGGGGAGTAGCGATACTGGTACCGGTGCCTTGTGGTTTCCCCACTTCCGGGGGCTACGAAAGGTAGGGTTACGCCAGGGTGCCGTTTGCGATCTGCGTTCTCCCGGGGCTTGGTGTGGGGCATTGTGGGGAGCACGGCGTTGCCCTCGCGGGGCCCCCCGGGGGCCGCGGCGGAGAACTCCGTGGAGGTCCTCGCCCGCCCCCCCCACCCCCCACGAGGGTGCGGGTTGCAAACGGTGCCCTGTGCAGGCCAGTTCCTTCGGACTCGCTGGTTCTTGCCCAGGTCTCTTCCAGATGATCTTCCCAGATCCGCGGCGGCGGGAATTTGTCGCTCACGGGTTCACGTCGCGCAAATGTGCGGCCGCGATCAAGGGGGGGTGGGGGGGGCGACTTCGGTAGCGAACCTTCGCTTCTTGCCCAGATCTCCGCCAGTATGATCTTCCCAGATCTTCCGCGACAGGGGATTTTCGATAACGGATTTCGATCGCGCCAAATTCCGGTCGCGGCCAGAGGGGAGTCGAATGTCGGTAATGAAGAGACGGCCCGTGGGGATCCAAGCGAGGGTTTCGAAGACGTCGAGGGCTCGCTCGAGACCAGAGGCCGAATTTGGTCGCGACTGGGTCGTCCAAAGCATTACTGGAATTTTCGGTAACGGGTAATCTTGGAGGTATCCGCCAGTATGTTTTTTTCAATACAGCGTTTGTCCTCGGTTTCGGCATCGGTATGGGTTCGCTGCGAAACGCCACCTCAGGGGGGGTGGGGGTCGGGATCTCTTGGGCCGTCGGCGGTTCAAAGATGGGGCTCTGCGCTCGTTTCTTCAGGGTGGGGGACAAGGTCCCATCGATGCTCGTCCTGGAGAGCCCTCGTCACCACGCCTGGATTCTCCTCACAGTTCTGGCCAGAGCACACCCTGGGAGATGTCTGGGGAGCAGCGGTATCGGTACCTTTTGTTCCCTCCCGTTCCGCCGATGTGTTTTCCAATCTGGGCGTTTGTATTCCCAGCCCTTGAGGCCCCGAGATGCTTCCCCTTCAGTTTTGTCGGCCCTTGGGGGTCCGAGCTCTTCTCCCAGCCGTTTCCCATGCCCAGGACTGCTCCGTGTGGCGCTTGTATTCCCTGCAGTTCCTCTCCGTGTCGTCCGCTGGTGTCCGCGCCAGCAGTGTGAGGTCGGCCCCTGACATGTTCTCTCTTGTCATGGGTCAAGGCCCGTCCCGCGCACTGCGTCGCGCAAGGGGCCTCGTGTCGGATGGCGGGAGGCCCCTTGCGCGACGCAGTGCAAAGTGTCCCTTGCGCCGCGCCCCCAGAGCGGACCATTTTTATGAAGTGGCAGTTCCCAGATAGCTCGTAGAGGGCTAAGAAGGTTTCAGGTTAAAATGGCAGAGCCGCAGGGTAGCCCTAGAGCTCGTTCCGGCTTCCGTTTTCCAGCGCCAGAGAAAGTTGTGTGAGACTGTGGCGTGTTTCTGCAGATATTGTCTCAGCGTTTCCCCAGACGTCTGCCCAGAAGCTGTCCAGGTGGTCCTTCGGAAGCTCTCTCTTCAGGAGCTTTCAGGCTCCTCCGACAGGCCTTCGCACGCCCTCCTGGCGCCCAGGGGGACCGCGATTGGAGGCAGGAGGGCACCCCGCCGGGCTGGCTGGCGGACTTCTCACGGGGGAGGGGGGGCTGCGGAGATCCGCCTTCGCGGGATACCCGGCGCCGCGCCCATCACTTGGGGGATGCAGGCACACACAGCCACACACGGGCGCAATTGTTTTGAGCGCTGCTGGCGGGGCCATGAGCGACGCGGCCGTCCAGCAGTCACGACCGACTGGCTGCGGCTGGGCGCACACACAAACGGGGGGAAGAGGGGGTGGGGGGGCGTCCGCGGTCACGGGCGCCACTGCGAATCGTTGGAGGGCGCGCTCTTCGAGAGCCTCTGGCCCAGGGGGGCCCCGCAGCTCTGAGATCCGAGGCCATGGAAGATTGCAGCAGAAGTATCTCGACCAGAGCCCTGGCCGGCCCTCCTTCTCTCTGCCGCGCGCCTCGCAGCCGGATCCGGCCCTGAGGGCCCCGGGCCCCGAAGCAGAGGGCAAGACTGCCCGTGGGGTAAGTCTTCTTATTCATCGTTTTGTCAATCGGCGGCGCGAGCCTGTGTGCCCGTCTCCTCCCCCTCTCGAAACAGGAAAAAACGCCGTAGCCATAAACTTGTGGCGCTCCGCGCGGACTGCTCGGATCCGCGCTGGGCCCCCCCAGCGGCGCCTCCGGCGCCGCCCCTGTCGCGCTCCGCGCGACAGGGAGGGGGCTCTTGCCAAGATCCAAGAAATCCGCGCGGACTTCCAACAGCTTTGTTTATGCCGTTTTTCCCCCCCCCCCCCCCCCCCCCCTCCATGGAGTAGCTGTTCTTGGCGCCTGTTTCGAGCAGGCGGGGTCTCACCCACAGGACGCACTGTTGCAAACACCGTCGCGCTAAGCAGAGGTCCAGAGCCAGACCTCCCCCGCCCCCCCCCTTCCGCCCACTGTCGAAGCGCCGAATGAGAAAACGCCCATCAGACATGCGACGCCGGGGTCTTGGGGAGGGCCCCCGAAGGTGGGCACGAACGAAGTGGGGACGAAAAGAATGGGTGCAATGCCCAACAGCAGTTCACGCCGCTGTGAACTGCTGGACTCATTGTCATGCCCAACAGCATGACAATGAGTCCAGTTCATTTTGAACAGGACTCGCTGTCCACGCCGCCGCGGCCTGTGTCCATTCGAGACAGAAAGGCCGCCTGCCCAACAGCGGCCGCTGTTGGTTTGGGACAACGATTGTTGTTGGGCGTTGTGCCCACTTCTTCCGTACCCATGTCGGGCGTCCAGAAAAGGCGCGCGAGAGTGCGCTCCAGCAGGGCACGCCCTCGCGCGCCCCCGGGGCCACGCGGGTCCACGGCGCCTGGCGCTCTGGGTGGGCCTCCACCAGGGGAGTGCCTGCTCTGCGTGGTGGCCTGCTCGCAGGCCGCTGCCCTTGCCGATTGTACTCGCCTGAAGAGGAGAGGCAGGTGGAGGAGGAGGAGGAGGAGGCCTGGGGAGGAGGAGGAGGAGGAGGAGGAAGAGGAGGAGGAGGCGGAGGACAAGGAGTTGGATGGGGAGAAGGAGGAGGGCCCAGACCCCGTCGCGCCGTGAGACAGCCACGGCAGGAGGCTCTGGCCGCGCTTCGGCCAGTGAGGCCAACAGGAGAAGAAGCCAGCCCAGTCCTCTGGGGAGCCACGCTGTGAAAACAGCACGACGGAGGATGCCTGGGGAGGAGGAGGAGGAGGAGGAGGAGGATCGGGAAGGATGCAAAGAGTTTCAGTGGCACGCGCGACGCCTTCCGAGCCGCACGTGTTGTTCATTCGCCGGTGATGTGCAGCAACCTCGTGCACGGTTCGACAGGGGCGCGCGGAGGGGATCGCTCCGCCGGCGTGACGCCGGTGTCTTGCTCCTGCCACCCGAGGGGAGGCAGGAGGGGCCCGGGAGGCCTTGTTGGAGGGCCCGGCGGACGGACGCCGCCGCAGTGCTCGGAGTGTGGCCTCCTGGCGCGCCCGCTCCTCTTCCGCAGCCGCTGCCGTCCGCACAGCCCGCCGGCACAGCCGCGGCCCGCCAGGCGGGCCCGCGCGCGCGCGTGCTGGCGGCGGCCTCCCGCCATGGCCCGCGAGGCGCCGCTGCTGGAGCGCGAGGCCGGGCCCTCCCTGAGCGCCATCGCCTCCAACTTCTTCTGGCTGGGGCTCACGGCCTTCGGCGGCCCGCCCGTGCACATCAGCATGTTCAAGAAGCGCTTCTGCGAGGACGAGGACCTGAGGTGGCTGTCCGAGGAGCGGGCCGGGCGAGAGGGGGGGGATCTACAGGGAAGGGGAAGGGGGTGGGGGGGGGCGAAGTCTGCTGCTTGTAGCTGGATTCGGCCTCACCGAGGGGCCCATTCCTCGATGCATGGCCGCCTCCGGCGCCGGGAGGCGCCAGGAAAATCAGCCACGTGAGCTGATTCTCAAACCCCCCCTTTGCTATCCCCCCTTTCGCCCAGCCCGAGAGGAGCGGTTTCAGGAGCTCTTCGCGATGGCGAACTGCCTGCCCGGGCCGTCTAGCACCCAGGTCGGCTTCGCGATCGGGGTCACGAAGAAGGGCGTCGTTGGCGGCCTCGTCTCTGGCTTCGCATTCATCCTCCCTGGTGCTATCATGATGACTGCACTCGGATTTGCATCGAGTGCGGTGTCGGACAAGATCAAGGACCCCCATTCCCCTGAAAGAGCCTGCGCCATAGCCTGCAGCGCAGTCGGAGTGTCGCTCGTCTTTTCTGCTGTGTCGGGTTTGGTTAAAAAGTTCGTCTTCAGCACCAAGGACACGGGCAAACTCGGTTTTGTGTGTTGCATTACGGCGGCTATGTGCTTACTGGTCAGCCCGACTCCCGCCTGGCTGAACCCAGTCCTCATTTTCGCGGGCGGAATGGTCACCATCGCTTCGCCAGTGCATGCTGCGGCTAATCAGAACGAAGCGGCGTCACACGACGACGGCCGCACAGGCCTTCCCATCTCTGCTGCCAGGCTCGTCTTCCTTGGCTACTTCGTCCTTGCCGCGTGGACCATCCACACCGACACGTATGACCATGGCTGGGTGATGCCCTTTCTGAACGCAGGCATGTTCGTGTGGGGTGGCGGCCCCGTCGTCTTGCCGATGCTGATGACGTATCCGGGTGCCTGCGGTGGGCTCCAGCAGGGTGCCAGCGCTGAGCACTTCGTGTGGCGACCCTTGGGGAGCCGCCCACATGGATGCGGCATGGGGCGATTCTCGTTCCGATGGCCTGGAGAGCCGTAACACGTGTCGCGCGCGCCTGCAGCTGTAACTCCTTGCTGATTTGTTGTTCCTCAGGGCCAAGAGGGCCGTCACGTTTGACGCCGCCTTTTCCCGACGTGCCATGCCACACAGCAGTTCGTATCCCCACCAGAGATGCGGCCGCATCATGCCAAACACCGAGGATGAGGAGACAATGGGGAGATGTAGGCGGGCGGAGGAGGCGGGGAAGGTGTTGCAAGAACCCTTGAGGTCCGTGTAAGAGTTATTGGGGGCCTCTGGAGGCGTCTTGGACGCGTCCTATGGTATTCTGGGCGCCTTCTAGTGAGTTCCTCGGGCCGCTTCTTGGCTCGTCCAGGGTCCTGCGGGTGGCTTTTTGGGTGGCCCAATTGAGGTTTTCTTGGGCTGCTCGGAAACTTTTGTGCCACTATAGGGCCGTATTATTGAAGTCATTTTTGGGCCGAAAGCCGAACACCCAGAGCAGCCTCAAATTGGATTAGTTCAGCGGTTGGACCCCACATGATGTTTTCTTGGGACCACGCGAAAGGTGGCTGGGCAACAAGAAGGAATGAAACACCAGAAGGACTATTTTGGGACACTCTGTTGGCAACTGTATTGGACCTGTTAGACACATCGTGGGGGCTTGGGAGGTGTCCTGGGACGATATTGGCGGCCTTTTAGGTCGGTGTGGACGCCCTCAAGACCGATAAAGTGGGCATGCTGTACGTAACTGTACATACATAACTGAAAGTTGTTAAATTAATGGTTGGTTGCGGTCATCCGTTCACTCTCTCTCTCTTTCTGTTGTGTTCGATTTGCCAGCGTGGCGTAGGGAGACGCTCCCGCACGCCCGTGAACTGCTCCAGCTATGGCTGGACCGCCCCAACGCTCAAACGACAAGCTCGGAGAGAACGGGGGGTTAGACAGAAACATGCATACGCACTGAAACACTGCCGAATGGTTTGGGCCTCTTGGGCCGCCCCCCTCGGGGCATCGAAGACGGCCCAAGAGCCCCCCAGGATATCCCCAGGACGGTCCCTCCAGACCATTGTGCGGCCTGTGGCCATCCGCACTCTCGAGACCTTCAAACATGTCATACGACAATCCCCACGAGCGCCCAGCAGCGCCCGAGAGCGTTCAGAAATCTGGAGGCTGGGAGTTTGAACAAAAGCATAAGAAATTCAACGCGCAAGTTCGAAGGGGCCTGAGGATGCAGCGTAGGAGAAGGAGTCTGGTTACCAGTGTGGACACGAACTGAAGCAGCGGTACGAGAAAGAGAGAGAGATATATAGTGGAACAGAGAGAGGGAGAAACGTATAGCGAGTACGAGTCTGATCATATGTGTGGAATCGGAGTGCCAGCTTGAATACTACGGATATGTGAGGGCGACGACTTGTCGTAGCGGGTGTTGCTATGCTATGTGTAGAAATGGTGGCAGTAGCGGGTATATTAGGAGTACCAGTAGCAATAGCAGAGTAGTAGTAGTAGTAGTAGTAGTAGTAGTAGTAGTAGTAGTAGTAGTAGGAGTAGTAGTAGTAGTAGTAGTAGTCGTAGTAGTAGTAGTAGTAGTAGTAGTAGTAGGAGTAGTAGTAGTAGTAGTAGTAGTAGTAGTAGGTGCAGAAGTCGTGGTAGTGGTAGTAGTAGTAGTAGTAGTAGTAGTAGTAGTAGTAGTAGTAGTAGTAGTAGTAGTAGTAGTAGTAGTAGTAGTAGTAGTAGTAGTAGTAGTAGTAGTAGTAGTAGTAGTAGTACACGTAGTAGGAGTAGTAGTCGTCGTCGTAGTAGCAGTCAGGGTGTTGGTAGTAGTACTAGTAGGTAGCCGTAACCGTAGCCGTAATATGCATTGTAGTCGTCGTCGTCGTCGTAGTAGTAGTAGTCGTAGTAGTAGTAGTAGTAGTAGTAGGAGTAGGAGTAGGAGTAGGAGTAGGAGTAGTAGTCGTAGTAGCAGTAGTAGTAGTAGTAGTAGTAGTAGTAGTAGTAGTAGTAGTCGTAGCAGTAATAGTAGTAGTAGTAGTAGTAGTAGTAGTAGTAGTCGTAGTAGTAGTAGTAGTTGTTGTAGTAGTAGTAGAAGTAGTAGTAGTAGTAGTAGTAATAGTAGTCGTAGTAGTAGTCGCAGTAGTAGTAGTAGTAGTAGTAGTAGTGGTGGTAGTGGTAGTCGTAGTATGATTATTATTAGTAGTAGTAGTAGTCGTATTAGTCGTAGTAGTAGAAGCAGTGGTATTGGTAGTAGTAGTGGTAGTAGTAGTTGCAGTACTAGTAGTAGTAGAAGTAGGAGAAGTAGTCGTAGTAGTATTAGCACTAGTGGTAGTAGAAGTAGTAGTAGTAGTAGTAGTAGTAGTAGTAGTAGTCGTGGTGTTAGTCGTGGTAGTTGTAGTCGTAGAAGCAGCAGTTGTATTAGCAACTGTCGTAGTTGTTGCCATAGTAGTAGTAGTCGTAGTCGTAGTCGTAGTCGTAGTAGTAGTAGTAGTAGTAGTAGTAGTAGTAACAGTAGCTGTAGTAGTAGTAGTAGTAGTAGTAGTCGTCGAAGTCGTAGTTGTAGTAGTAGTAGTAGTAGTAGTAGGAGTAGTAGAATTAGCAGTAGTAGTAGTAGTTGTAGTAGTAGTAGTAGTAGTGGCAGTAGTAGTAGTAGTAGTAGGAGTAGTAGTGATAGTAGTAGTAGTAGTAGTAGTAGTAGTCGTAGTAGTCGCAGTAGTAGTAGTAGTAGTAGTAGTAGTAGTAGTAGTAGTACTCGTAGTGGTACTAGTAGTATTAGTAGTAGTAGTAGTAGTAGTAGTCGTAGTAGTAGTAGTAGTAGTAGTAACAGTCGTACTCGTAGTCATAGTCGTAGTTGTAGTTGTAGTACTAGTAGTAATCGCAGTAGTAGTAGTAGGAGTAGTAGTAGTAGTGGGCGTAGTAGTAATAGTAGTAGTCGTTGTAGTAGTAGTAGTAGGAGTAGTAGTAGTTGCAGTACTAGTAGTAGTAGAAGTAGGAGAAGTAGTAGTAGTAGTAGTAGTAGTAGCACTAGTGGTAGTAGTAGTAGTAGTAGTAGTAGTAGTAGTCGTGGTGTTAGTCGTGGTAGTTGTAGTCGTAGAAGTAGCAGTTGTATTAGCATATGTCGTAGTTGTTGCCATAGTAGTAGTAGTCGTAGTCGTAGTCGTAGTAGTAGTAGTAGTAGTAACAGTAGCTGTAGTAGTAGTAGTGGTAGTCGTCGAAGTAGTAGTAGTAGTAGTAGTAGTAGTCGTAGTAGTAGTAGTAGTAGTAGTTGTAGTAGAATTAGCAGTAGTAGTAGTAGTAGTAGTAGTAGTAGTAGTAGTAGTAGTAGTAGTGGTAGTAGTAGTAGTAGTAGTAGTGCTAGTAGTAGTAGTAGTAGTAGTAGTAGTAGTCGTAGTAGTCGCAGTAGTAGTAGTAGTAGTAGCAGTAGTAGTAGTAGTAGTAGTACTCGTAGTAGTGCTAGTAGTAGTAGTAGTAGTAGTAGTAGTAGTAGTAGCAGTAGTAGTAGTAACAGTCGTACTCGTAGACATAGTCGCAGTTGTAGTTGTAGTACTAGTAGTAGTCGCAGTAGTAGTAGTAGTAGTAGTAGTAGTAGTAGGAGTAGTAGTAGTAGTAGTGGGCGTAGTAGTTATAGTAGTAATCGTTGTAGTAGTAGTAGGAGTAGTCGTAGTAGTAGTAGTAGTAGTAGTAGTAGTAGTCGTCGTCGTAGTCGTAGTAGTAGTAGTAGTAGTAGTAGTAGTAGTAGTCGTAGTAGCAGTAGTAGTAGTAGTAGTAGTAGTAGTAGTAGTAGTAGTAGTAGTAGTCGTAGTAGCAGTATTAGTGGTAGCTTTAGTGGTAGTAATCGTAGTACTGGTTGTCTTAGCAGTAGTAGTCGTAATCGTAGTAGCAGTAGCAGTAATAGTAGTAGTAGTAGTAGCAGTAGTCGGAGAAGTAGTAGTAGTAGTAATTGTAGTAGCCGTAGTTTCTGCAGTACCAGTAGCATTCAGATTCTTCTAGCAGCGATAGTCGTAGTCGTAGTTGTCATAGTAGTAGCAGAATTAGTAGTAGTAGTCGTAGTAGTAGTAGTAGTGGTAGTAGTCGTAGTAGTAGTAGTAGTAATAGTCGCAGTAGAAGTAGTACTAGTAGGGGTAGTAGTATTAGTAGTCGTAGTAGTAGTAGTAGTAGTAGTAGTAGTAGTAGTAGTAGTAGTAGTAGTAGTGGTAGTAGTAGTCGTCGTAGTAGTAGTAATAGTAGTCGTAGTAGCAGTAGTAGTAGTAGTAGTAGTAGCAGTAGTAGTAGCAGCAGCAGTAGTAGTAGTAGTAGTAACCGCAGTCGTAGTAGTAGAAGTAGTAGTAGTAGTAGTAGTAGTAGTAGTAGTAGTAGTAGTAGTGTAACTAGTAGTAGTAGCAGTAGTAGTAGTAGTAGCCGTAGTAGTCGTAGTAGTAGTAGTAGCAGTAGTAGTAGTAGTAGTAGTAGTAGTAGTCGTAGTAGTAGTAGTAGTAGTAGTAGTAGTAGTAGTAGCAGTAGTAGTAGTAGTAGTAGTCGTAGTACTAGTACCTGTACTAGTGCTAGTCTTAGTCGTAGTCGTAGTCGTATTAGTAGTAGTAGTCGTAGTCGTGTAGCAGCAGTAGTAATAGTAGTAGTAGTAGTAGTAGTAGTAGTAGTAGTAACAGTAGTAATAGTAGTCGTAGTCGTTGCAGTATTAGTATTAGTAGTAGTAGTAGTAGTAGTAGTCGTCGTCGTAGTCGTCGTCGTAGTAGTAGTAGTAGTAATAGTGCTGGTAGTAGTAGTAGTAGTCATAGTAGTCGTAGTAGGAGTAGTAGCAGTAGTAGCAGCAGCAGTAGGAGTAGTAGTCGCAGTAGTAGTCGTAGTCGCAGTAGGAGTAGTAGTAGTAGTAGTAGTAGTAGTAGTAGTAGCAGTACTAGTAGTAGTAGTAGTACTAGTACTAGTACTAGT